ACCGCGTTGCTACCGGTCGAACCCCGCGAAGTCGACGCCATCACATTCAAATCCCCAATCACGTCAGGCACAATATCCGCCCGCGAAGGCAGCCTCCTCGCGCCTGTCTTTATCGTCGCGTCAATCGTCAACGTCCATGAAGACTGGGCCCCATCGCCAAATGACACGGCTGCTGTATGCCGTGAAGGGGCCAGCCTCGACGTGCGGGGCTGGATAATCACCAAAGAGATTCATCTCTGAGTCTGTCTCCTCGTCGTCGTCGTTGTCGGGCGGTGGTTGTGGAGATCTCCAGCAAGGCGCCCTGTCACGGCCTCCACGTCCTCTGCGAACTCTCCGGAGGGGTTTCCGGCGTAGAGCCTCGATGCCTAAGTTAGTATCAGGAAGATGGTGGTGCTCTGTAAATACGAGTCGTATGTAATGTATGGAGAATGTTAAGTTAGGGTTAGGTTATACCTCAGTCACTTTATATGAAAATACTTGCCCGAAAATGCTTTGCCGGGGTGCCCGCGGGCAGTCGTCCCGACTGCCCGAGTTTAGTGCTTATCCATATCATAATCATCTCTTAGTCCAATCTTAGTCATCCTAAGAGTCCTTCTTATCCCTTTAAGATTCTTTCTTATCTTGTAATTCCTCTTAGGCTATCCACTTCATGTCCCGCCTCGGTATGTGAAATGAACTAGATCGTCATTAGGGATGGAAATCGACTTACTCCATAGCCCGAGGAGCGGGTAGCCTGATGTCCGCCTGCGAGACTCGTGGGATCCGTTGGTTATAAGTCGTTATCCCTCTAGTCGCCTTTCTGTCTCCAGGTTGCCTTATGTCGACCTCGAGTTGCCTCGAGGTTGTCTTATCCTAGATATCTCCATGAATGTCGACTTACTCACGTCGTTATTCATTTAGCTCAAGCTCCTTACACTTGTAATAATCCAGTCCACTTGTATATGGCTATATCAATGTTATTATTCTAATATTTTGTATGATAGTTAAAAATATATCCATAAACAAGCATACTACTCATATATACTAATTCAAATTTATCTGATAGAATTTTTTTTAAAAAAAAAATCAAAATCAAATTGGCAGAGTTCTAAATACTATTGTTTTTTTTTTTTGAAACGATAGGGATAACTATATATCAAAACTAAAACCGGGATCAACGTTCGAATACATCGGGTGCACCTACTCAAATCAAACGCACACGTAACAGCAAATTGAGAGACACACCCATCGGTGGTCTAGATACAAACACTGACCATAGTCAAGGCAGATAGACTGAGCCCTTGGTGTACCCCAATCACAACATACCTAACAATCCAACTAGCACAACCACTGTTTAAAAGACCTAGTCACCAACAAAGATCTACACACCACAAAACCACCCCTAAGAATAAACTAAAATAAAGCAAAGGAAAGACAAAACTAGATCCTACAAACCACTAACAACAATCTTCAAACCTTCTGGAGCTGCACTTCTTGGAATTACTGCCATTTCTGCATATCACACTTTATCACCATCTTTTCTGGTATTCTTTCTTGTTTAAACAGCCAATGGTTTCGTGCCTTCCATAGCCACCATAGTAAGTATGCTGTAAGTTGAATCCTTGCATCTGCCATCTCTGTCTTGTCAATGGAGCACACTTGTGTCCACCATGCCTTGAAGGAACATCCTGCTGTTGAGATGCCATTCCAGTTGAGTGACCTATAGCCCACATTTTCTGAGCCATGTCACAAGAGAAGAAAATATGTTCAATAGATTCAACCTCCTCTCCACAGCTTTGGTATCTGATTATCTTTATTGACAATTTGATTGTAAAAAACGCAAGTCATTTTAAATAGTTAATATCTATTGTACATTTATTTTTATGATTTTACAATAAGAATATAAATGCTTTTTTATATATATATATATATATATATTATTTTTTATTATAAAAATATTTTTTTTCAAGCACACGTGTAGTACACATGTATCATAATGATTAAGTATAAAGTTAATAAATATGCTTTAGCAGAAAACAAATTAATCATAATGATTAAGTATAAAGTTAATAAATATGCTTTAGCAGAAAACAAATTAAAATTTATATCATGTAATTGTATTTTTTTTTCCTACTAACACCTATTTTATTTATTTTTAATTACAAACTCAAATTCATCTACTCAATCAACTTTATTCAAAATAATTCACTTTAAAATCATAATCGGTTGCATTCATATTAGGGCTGAGCACAGGACTCGGAGATTACCGAACTGTTCTGAAAATCGAACCGAATTCACCCCGAACCTAAAAATATTTGTTGACCGTTTGACTTTATCCGAACCGAACCATACCGAAAATATTTGGTACGATTCTATAGATTCATAAAATATCCGAACTGAGAACTAAACCGAACCGAACCGAAAAAAATTATACCAAACCGAGAACTGGACAAGAACCGATTTTAATTCAACAAATTCATATAAATATAATATTTCATCTTGTGCTTTGTTTTCATTTTTGTACATATTTGTATTTAAAGTTGAATTGCAAATAAAATTCAGATACATTAGGTATATATTCATAAACTATCATATATTATATTTAAAATGGAATTGTAAAAATTCTCCACTGTTGAATGTTAATATAATTAAATGATTGACAAAATAATTATTTTATTTTCTTATTGCATGTGAGGCATTAGTTTGAAAAGAAATTAAATTAACATACTTTTTCTATCACAAATTTTGGTAACCAACATGTCAAATTTTATTAAAAATCACTAATTATAAACTGAATTCAAATTTAGAATGTTTGAAAACCGGCCTTTATGAAGAAAATCTTTCACAAAATTTGGAGAGAAATATTCATTTAAAGATGATATATTTTAAAAAAAATTGGTAGATATTTTTACCATAATATCTATCAGTTTAATCATAATACTACGACACGTCGACACCCGCTGCTCGAAGACGGTAAAGGTTCTATACTTTTTGGAATTACACATGTGTTGATGAAAATTCACTAACTAAATTTAAATATGTCGTATGGAATTGTGGTTTGTGAATTATGAGATTTGTATTTGGAACTATGGGATGTGAACTCTTGGATAATGTGTGTCTTAGTAATACTTAATCTACAATTAATTTTTTTCTAGTTTAAAAATATTATTTAAAATCTTTAATATGACGAAGTATTAATGAATGTTGGATTTTTTTAAAGCATATAACAATGAAAATATAACTAGGTAGTTATTAAAAAAAAAATAATAATTAGGAATCTCCGGAGCTTCGAATCGTATCAATCCGAATGGAATCGTTTCGATAGTCCCGAATATCGAACCGAACTGAACCTAAAAATACAAATCTCAGAATCGTCCCAAATTTTTGGTACAGTTCTGGAGATCGAATTTAGTGATCTCTGAATTTTAGTATGGTTCCAAAAATTTGTTCATCTCCGAATAGTACCGACCTTTAGTCACTCCTAATTAATATCCAATCACTCTACACTGTTATAGAAGGAAACTAGAGAAAGGAAGGGGCATTTTAAATATGGGCCTTCACAGTACAAGTTGCCCAATCATACCTTGGTACAACCCCTTAGCAACTCACCCCACACACACCATACTAGCACGTACCCCGTGCGATACACGCGAGAGAGATATTAAATCAATTATTTTTACAGGCTTTGTCCGTTTAAGTCTGAGAAGGGTTATCATCCATTTTTCACCTCTTTTAATCACCGTTAAGTCTTGTTTAAGTCTGAAAAGGGTTATCATCCATTTTCCACCTCTTTTCATTATCGTTAAGTCTGAAAAAATAGGGTTGTAATCTATTTTTCACATCTTTTAATCAGCGGTGCTTTATTAGTCAGAACATTAAGCGTGAGCATGTTAGGGCTAACTTGTAAAATAATTAATATATTATCTCACTAAGACATTTATACTGATATAAATTTAATTTTATTATATATATTTATTCCTTGATATAAGAGAAAATAATAATTTTACTTATTCTTGTTTGTTATATAATAGTTAATTATTATTTTACTATAAACTCTATTGCCATATAATGTCATTATTATTTATAAATTTATAGAAGTTGCACGTCTTCTTGTTCTTTTTATTTTATGTAATGAAATATATTTAATGCACGTTGGTATTATTTATATAAGTAATCAATTTAAAATATGTTAATAAATTTAAAATTAAATAGTGTATAAATAATGTACAAAATATACACATATATTTTTTTAGAATTTAATTTTGTATATTAATTAAACAACTTTGATTTAAGAAAAGTCATGAACTCAATCTCTCCTAATATCAATATTTTTCTAATTTGCATTATAATGATTATTCTTATTATATATATAGATTAGAATTTTTGCGACACCAACCAAACTAAATATCACAACAACCAAGTAACAATTATGAAAAAACTATAACACAACAACTATCAATTAAATTTGGTAATAAAAAAATCACCTACATATATATAAAAATATGAGGATTCTATATTTCTATTAACTGATGTATACAACACGTGTATAATTTGTCAAGGTATACTTTCATAGCATGATAACAATCAGTCTTAAAAAATCAAAAATCTTATTGAAATGCCATATTTTCTGTTAAAAAAAAAGTCCCCATAAAAAATAATTATATCATAGCAAATTCATTGTGCAATTGAATTTCTATAATGAAGCCCGATTTTCTGTACAAAAATAAAGTTACAACTTTCACATTTTAAGGAAATCAATTAATGTTGGTCCGTTTTTGTTATGAAAATAATAAATAAATAAATTGTAATTAATGGAAAGTAATTAAAGATGAGAGAATTTGACCATATAATTGACCTTTCATTTTTTTAAAATGGTAATTCTTATAATATATATATATATATAAATAATTAAATTAATTAAATAAAATATTAATGCCGAAATAGTAATGACATTTAATGCAGTTGACTTTTCTGAATACTAAATGTAGTAAATAGAATCCTTTTTTTATATAAGTATAGATATAAACAAACGGTCTATTATCCTCACCTTATCTTCTTCCCAACTTCCACTACAATTTCACACCCGAACAATGCCGGAAACGAAAGAGGAGCTCCAACCGGAGGAGAACAACTCCAACGAATACGACTCCGAAACTGAAGCCTCTCCGTCGGAATCCTCTGACGAATACCACTCCGAACCTGACGAACCTGAATCCCCTCCGCCGGAATACGACGACGACTTCGACAACTACAATGAACCCAAATCAGACTTCAAAGACGCTGAAGAAGAAGAAGAATTGTACAAGCCGATAAGATTCGTCCGGGCCGACGGCACGATCGGGGAGACCAGCTTGCGCGAACCCTTCACCGATCTGAGCGCCGAGGCCAACTTCGCCCGCTGGAACCGGATCCTCCAGTCGAAGGGCTATCGCCAGCATTTAGAGGAGGAGAAGGAAAATGTTCCTGTTATCGACAGAGATGAATACTTCAATTTCCCCGAGGACCCAGAGAACTGGCAGGAGGAGGACGTGAGGGAGCTGTGGGCGGACCGCCCGATGGGGATGGTGAAGACCGGGTTTGACCCGCACAACGTGGACGAGGAGGAGGTCAAGATCATCCAGGAGGAGATTAAGGCCGGGAGGAAACCGCGGATTGCCCCCTTCTACGTGCCTTACAGGAAGCCCTACCCAGTGATCCCCGAGAGGAAAGAGAATTACAACGTTTACTCCCCCAAGACAGTTATTGAGGAGCTGGACAGGATAGAGGAGTTCCTGACCTGGCGGAGCTACATTTTTGAAGACGGCAGCTCGTGAGTGGTTTCAGTCTTCTTTCTTTATCTCCGAGGGAGAATAATTNAAAAAAAAAAAAAAAAAAAAAGCTTTTGAATTTTCTTTCTTTGGGTTTTTGAGGGATTGCATAGCTTAGGTTTTACCTGTTTCGAGTTTCACTTAAAGTGTTTGATTATTTGCTCATTAGAAGTCCCTTCCTGTTTATACATACTGATTTTGGTTGTCTTGGTAACTTTGGGAATGGGATTACTGGATTAGTCTTTATTCTCGTTCCATTTCTCGTTTAAGTATGAGTTCCACCTCTTTTGACTGTATATTTTGCAATTGGCAAAATTTTGACTTCTTCTAAGGTATGAAGGCACCGTTTGGGATGACTATGCTCATGGAAAAGGTGTTTTCGTTGCGGAGAACGGTCTGGTCAGGTATTTGTGATTATCTAATTCCGAATCTATCGTAGTGTCAGAATATCCACTGATGCAATCATAATCAGAAATTCTTAGAAACATCAATTTTTGCTTCTAGGTATGAAGGAGAATGGCTGCAGAATAATATGGAAGGTCATGGTGTAGTTGAAGTGGACATTCCCACCATGGAGCCCATTCCGGGTTCCAAGTATGTCATTCTGTGCTATGTTAAAGATTTATGATATGATCAGTGTTGAGAAAAGAGATGTCCTTAAAATAATCCCTTTTTAAAATTACTTATGGTTCTTGCAGGCTTGAAAAAAAGATGCGAGCTGAAGGGAAAATAATATCGAGAGACTTCTTGCCACCTGAAGATAAAAAATGGCTGGAGATGGATATTGAAGACAGCATGCTTTTAGCTGATGGAGAATTAGAGGTCCCCTTTTATGAAAAAGATGATTGGATCAGACTATTTGGAAGGAAGCCGTAAGTTTTATGTTTGAGCTAGCTCGCTTCTTTCGCCTTCTATTTTGGACCTCGAGATGCATATATGCAGTTTGGTGCTTGTTGGCGTAATGTTTGCTTAGAGGCTAATGATGTTAACTTACAGTATTTTGTGTTCATTCATCCTTATCTTTTAAAAATTCATTTCATAACTTCAGGTAGCTCAAATTACAATTATACAAATTCTGCCAAATGTTAAATAATTGCCACTTTACAATTACTATGAGGTCATGTTGTAGTAATTACAAAAAACAACAAAATGAATAAAGAAAATCAGCAATCGAATCGATTTCCCCTTTTTTTCAATAATAAAAAACCGGTTGCTTCACTTATATTGCTCAACTACTCATTTCCTACTCCTACAGTAGCATTTGTGTAGACACATATGAATTGCATGGGAAGATGCTACTATATCGTTCATATTCTATGAAGACTCTGTGAAATTTGTATTGTCTATTTAGCTTTTGAATTTGATCTTTCAATGGTCCTTTGATCCTAGGGAGAAAGGTCGTTACCGGTACGCTGGCCAATGGAAACATGGCAGAATGCATGGTTGTGGCGTATATGAAGTCAATGAGAAAACTATATTTGTAAGTAACACTATACTGTTGTTTCACCATCAAGCTTTTTAGTTCAACTGATACTGCTCAAGATGTGCAAGAGTGTTTAACACTTTTCAAACGCCGATTTTATCAGCTTATTGAGATTCATCCCCTTTCCCTTCAACCATTCCTCCCGTCTAATTAGAATAAGTTTACATTTTGTTAACTCTTACTTGGATCTATTTGTTTTATAGTAGAAGATTTCATCACTCTTGATATAAAAAATTTATTGATTCCAATCAAAAACCAATTCTTTTTTTTTGTTCAAGTAAAACAGCTAGCTCTTATGAAGTTAATTTTATTTATTTGATTCTTGTCCTGTCTAATTTTTCTCAATGTTTCACCTTGTACTATGACGTTTCATATGAGGAATTGTCATATACATTCCAGAAAGGTAGCTCATTTTTTTGCTCTGTTGATAGACAATTTGGAAAAAAAATCTGAATGGGCTTATGATTTTATGGTATACTACAAAACCACATACTAGGTTTAGCCTATCTATGGTAAGACCAATTGTTACAAATCACAATAGTCCTCAAAGTTTTATAAAGACCGTTTTACATATATATTCATAACATTTATACTCCCTTTTCGAGGGCGCACAATGTGAAAAAGAATCTGAAACCATGATCTGTAAAGAAGTGGGTTTCTTTATAATTATGTGAAGGCTCTGAGAATAGTATTTGTAACTGAATCCTATCTGTTTATTGACTAATTGAATACATCTAAAAATTCTCTAATATCAATATAATAAAATCAATATGTTGAGTTTGTCAAAACCTAAACACACTGACTTGAAAGAATTATTTATATACTTATTATTGTTATTATTATTTATTATTTTGAATTTCTGCTGGAACTAATATAAAGGATTTTATGTTAGATAAGCATAATTTATTATTACTTGTGCAAGAGGAAAGTATACCCTTTGATTCCTAAGATCTTATCACTTTATTTGGACAAAAGATCTATGAAGCAAAACATGATAAAGAATCCTGTTTACATTGTTTCTGTTTGTGCTGGCAGGGCCGATTCTATTTTGGTCTCCCTTTGGATGATCCATCTGGCTGTGATGCAGAAGCGTCGGGGGTAATGATATTTCCTTCTTCTCAAACTCTGTTTGAAATTTCTATGTTGCTTTAGAGAGGATAACATAAGCGTGTGTCACCTCAGCTGCATGCAGGTATAGCAGAGGTTGCAGCTGCGAAGGCCCGCATGTTCGTCAACAAGCCTGATGGAAGTAAGTTTTTATATGATGAATATCAAGTTTATTGCTCAGTGAAGTTATCAACAACCACAATTTCTTGAAGGGTTATTTTGATCTGCGTCCACGAGGTTAAAAAATTCCTCTTGTATCTTATATTTGATCACTTATTTGGACAGCGAGCAGTATTTGCAGTTTGAATGACAAATTTTAGCATACATCTATCGTAGTCTGATTGTATTTGATTCGAGGCTAGAAAATTTTGATAGGATCTGGAAATGTGCCCCATAGAGAAATAATCTTATTGAATTATGCACTATTTGGTGAGCAAAATTCACTGAACATATTCACGCTTTGAATATTCTTTAATATTTTAATACTTGTGAGTTGTGACTTACGACTGTTGGACTTTGACAATCTACTTTATTGCCAATTTTGAACAACTGAGAGATATGAAGAAAAGTGGTGGTTAGTAACATAAGTCTTGCAAGCTAAAACTGCTAAATACCCTGATTTTATAACAGGTATCCGTGCTTCTTCAGAAAGAGAGTTAAGTTTTACCTGGACACTTCACTTGCTATTTAGTTGGATGCTGTTTTCCTCCTCTTATGATTATTCAGTTCAATATGTTGGCTTTTCTCCCTTTACTTGCGCATTCTAATAAATTCTGTGTTCTGTCAGTGGTCAGAGAAGATAGAGGTCCATATTCTGATCCCCAACATCCTTACTTTTACGAAGAAGAAGATGTGTGGATGGCACCAGGCTTCATTAATCAATTCTACGAGGTAACTTTACTCAGACATAATAACGAAATACCATCGTCATCCAAATGGTTTCATCAACTCTTGTGAAAAAAAAAAAATTGCCTTTTTCAGGTACCCGATTATTGGAAAACGTATGTCGATGAGGTGGACCAAGAGAGGCAGATGTGGTTGAACTCGTTCTACAAAGCTCCACTTAGGCTGCCTATGCCTTCTGAACTTGAATACTGGTGGGAGAAAGGAGGTAACTTTGTTCTTAGAGAATCATGTCATATAATCTCCACTCATCCGTTCTCCCCGTTTTGGTTCTCAACTAATGTTCAAAATTGTTAAATGATTACAACTTTCCAAGTTAATTATTGATGTATAATAAATTTATGACCTCAGTACTACAATACCCTTTCGTAACAAAACCCCTTTTCTTCTATTCCGACCAGATGAAGAACCTGAATTCGTCCTGATTAACAAAGAGCCCGAGCCCGACCCAGAAAACCCGTCACAGCTCATATACAGCGAGGACCCACTCATCCTACACACTCCGACTGGCATGATCATAAACCACATAGAAGACGAGGAACACGGGATAAGGCTCTTCTGGCAGCCCCCTCTGAAGGAGGGCGAAACCGTAAATCCGGATGAAGCCCGATTCCTGCCTCTCGGTTTCGACGAGTTCTATGGTCTCGAAGAGGTGAGGGAGCAGGAAAACCCATGGCGCCGGTTTGTGACTTCGGTGGAGAATAAGTGCAAGTCCTTTTTCGAGGGTATGGAAAAACGGGCAGAGGAGAGGAAGAAAGTGGGAATGGAGAGAATGGAATTGCTGAGAGAGAAGATGGAGCTCGTGGATGCTGAGTTTTCCCTCAAGGAGGCTGTAGAGGATTTGGATGAGGAGTTGAAGAGGATGCAAAAGGAGGAGGAGAAAGGTGGTGGTTTGGAGTCGGAGAAGACTGTGGATAGAGTTGAGGAAGATGAGGAGGAAAAAGAAGAAGAAGAGGAAGAGGAAGAAGAAGATGATGATGATGATGATGATGATGATGATGATGAGGATGATGATGGAAATGGTGTTAATGCTTCGAGTTTCGGGTCGACTAATGATAAAATCGCCAAAAACGGTGATGAGAGAAGTAAAGGGAAGTCGGCGTTTGCGGCGGCATCCCTGTCGTTCAGCAGCTCGAGCCTCATGTCGTTGGTAAGCATGAAGTATTATATTTCGATTCAGATTTGTTTCTGTTTATTTACAAATTGTAGTATCAAGGGTGAGGTTTTTCTTATAAAGTGAAAGGTAACGTAAAGGGCGTGTTTGTGATAGTCTTTATTGCTCGTAAGTTAGTTTTAATAACCTTAACTTATATTTGTTGGGCTGTGTTTCCTAACTTGTCAAGAAATTGAGAAATTTGTTCGGAAAAGAGGTAGGAAGCCCCTACTTTGATTTTAATTCGGTTTTGGTAACTGGGAAGATCATGTAATGATTCAAGATCTTTGGTATTGCTGTTAAATGTGAAAAAAGAAAAAAAAAATCAGGGGTAGTTACAATTTACAAAGGACCGCCTTTCAGGTTTACATCTCTCAAAATTATTTGGTCACATATTACACAAGGAAAGTACTTATTAGCCGAATACATAGTGCACGTTATATTAATTTCTGAAGATTGCGGTTTTCTATTTTCTCTCTCGTCCTTTCTTGAACATAATTCTACTGAACATTTTAAAGAGTTACTTAAGTCATACTCTGTTGTGGCTTGACAGGTTCCTCCGAAGCTGCAAACTTCATTTTTAAGCTGGAAAGAGGGAATACTTAACAAGTCCACACCTTCTCAGTTACCACACGAGAGCCGGAATTTTTGTACCGTTTCCTGTCCTCGTGCGAGTTGTAAAGTCATGAAACTGAAAGTTGCAAGCCGAAGATATCCTGTCGAACCCATATCAAAACATGGGTCGAGAAAGTACTCGAAAAGGAGAGAATGTGAACGGGTATTCGAGGAGCTAAATGTATTATCACTGCACACTCCTCTAATGATGTAAGCTTTCTTCTTTTATCAAGTTTTGTAGCGCTGGTGCGTGGAAATACACTCTGCGATTCTGTGTTTTGGACCCTTTTTTTTTTTTTTTTTTTTTTTTTTTTTTTTTT